TTCCTCCCTGCTCTGAGAGGCAGAGCCACAGCTCGGCCCCAGCTCACCTGGTGGCCACCAGCGGGTAGCTGTGGCAGGGGGAKGCCCAGGCATCCCTGGTCCAGGGCATCCCGTCGTACAGCAGCAGGTCCTTGTCGGTCACTGCCATGAGCACCGGCCGCCACTGCTGCCTCCCGCCGTCCAGGCGCACCTGTCGGACACCGGGGCACCATGATGGGCACCAGGACACCGTGATGGGCACCAGGACACCGTGATGGGCACTGGGGCACCGTGATGGGCACCGTGGCACTGTGATGGGCACCGTGATGGGTACCAGGGCACCGTGATGGGCACCGGGGCACCATGATGGGTACCAGAGCACTGTGAGGGGCACCAGGGGACACAGCCTGCCACTGCCCAGGCACCCCAAACCCACAGCCCATGGGGAGATGGACCTCACTGCCATCTCAGACAGCATTTACAGCACGGATATCCGGGGAAAGCAAACTAGGAGCAGCCCCCGGGGATCTGCTCTCTACCCCGCCAGAGCCGACTGAAGCTCTGACAGTGAATTAATGCAAAAGGGAGGGGGGGGATAAGGGGTTCCAACTGGGAAAAGCCAATGGGAGAGGGGCTGAGGGCACGGGCAGTGCTGCCATTGCCAGGGCAGCAGAGCCAGCAGCCAGGCTGGGCTCTCTGGCTGCACCCACAGTCCCGCTGGCATCCTCGGCACATCCCTCTGGCACTGCCAGCCCCGGCAGCACCCAGCACACCCCACCAGGGCGTACCTGCTCAGCCAGCCAGGCGATGTGCTTCACCTCGCGCCCGCCGGCCGGGGGGCTGCCGGAGCCCAGCGTGGCGTTGAGCTCGGCCAGGACCTGGGGCAGCAGSGCGGTGATGTTGGCGTGCAGGGCGCTGAACCAGGCGTGGGCAGTGGCCGTGTCGCRGCAGCGCAGCACCAGCGTGTTCCGGCTGTCCGGCGAGTGCAGCTCGATCAGCCTGCGAGGGGACGGGGACACGGCTCGGGCTGGCCAGGGGAGCCCCTCCTGTGCCCAGCACTGCTCTGGGGCTCCTGCCGTGCATTCCCACCTGCTGGGGCTTTTAGCCCTCGTTTTAAGGCAGGAGAGCTGCCAGAGGTCTGTGTGGCCATAGCCCTGGCCAAACCCTCCGGACTGTCCTTCCACAGCTCGGTGGGTGAAGCAGAGGGTCGTGGCCAGCGAGGGGCAGCCCCCAACTGTGCCCAGCCTGTCCATGGGGTGCAGGGTCCCTCACACTGGCACCGTGGGCAGACCCAGTCCTGTCCTGGGGGTTTTTGGGGACAGGGATCCTCCACAGCAGCAGCAGCCCCAGCCCTCACCTGTTCTCCAGGTCGGGCATGCTGAGGTTCCGGGCGGCGAARCACATCTTGAGGGGGATCACCTTGCGGTCCCGGGGGCCCTGGTGCTGGGGGGACCCCGAGTCCTCGCTGCCACTCAGGCTGGGGGACTGCGGGGCCGCCCCCTCCCAGGGCAGGTCTGACACCAGCGATGGCTTCTTGATGTAGGGCGTCACCTCCCGCATGAACTTCACTGTGGGGAGGTGGAGGGACGGTCAGAGCCGGGGAGGGTCCTGCAGCACCACGCCTCAGCCCCGTGCCCCAGGGGTGATGTGACCCTCACGCACTAAGGCTGGGAGGGGCTGGGGGGTCCCACCCTGTCCGGGTCAGGGATGTCCCAAGTGAAGGACGGCGCTGGCAGCTCATCCGTAGGAAGGGGAAGGCGGCGCAGGACAATGGTGCCGGGCGGGAGGTCAGGCTGCAGCCCATCCTGGTCCCGTCCTGCCCCGCCGCTGTCCGAGCGGCCAGCGCTGTGCCCGCCAAGTTTCCAGCACCGCAGGCCACGCTTGGGTCCCCACGGCAGCCGGCTCCGCTCCCAGGGCGAGGAGGAGGGTGTGCAGCCAAGACATCCCGGCTCCACGCGCCTCTCCAGGCCGGGAAGGAAGGAAGGAGGCACCAGCTCCAACTCCTGCTCCCCCCGGAGCGTCCCAGCCCAGCACCACCCTGTGACGGCAGCCCTGGACCCCCGCCCGGACACGGCCCCGGCAGCCATGGGAGGGACGCGCTGGGGACGGAGATGGGGCAGCGAGAGGGAAAAGCAAAGCAGAGCAGCAAACGGGCTGTGCTGAGCCGGGAGGGGAGCGGGGAAAGGATCCTGGAGCCGGCACGGTGCCACAGCCAGGCCCGCTGCAGGGGGAGCAGCACCG